TATGGGTAGGCTATATCTACAGCATTTTCTTGGTCTACCGATTTAGTAGCCTTATAAAAAGAAATTACATTATTCTGTTATGATGACTGAGCCATATTCATTTTTAGTGATAACCACTTCTTTTGTGGAATGTTGCCTAATAATTCCTTTGATACTATGTTCTCTAATTTTTCCAGGAATTGAAGTCAGGATCACTGGAGCAGGAATTTGGAGACTATAGTCTTCCTGTTCTATGGAGAAATAGAGAAATCTATCCTTTTTCTGTTCTGTGACACATCTTCCATTCTTCCTGATGTTTTGAAGATAATTGACAATTGCTCAGTGATGAACTCTGTCAGGTCTTTCAGTATAATGGGATGTAGTATAATTGGGATTGGTGATTTTAACTCATCAAGGGCAGCTTGGTGATTTTTTATTCACATCACATATCAAGGAATCGTTCCCTCATTTGAATTTCTATAACACTATTTTTAATCTATCCATGGTTCATGTCCCATATTATCAAGTATCTTTTCCCACTTATTCCTGTATATTATGTCCCCATAGAATTCTATCAGTTCCAGGAAGGCAGTGTCATTCTTCTTAGCATTGATCTTTATGGATAGTAGGTACTCAAAACATTTTTGAACAAATTAATAATTTAAATATGCCTATGCAAATGACTCCTAACTCTGAACTTTAAGGCCCACATTTCCTACTGCTTGCTGAACATGTCTACTTGTATATCCTATTGGCAAATTAGACTCAATGTATGCAACCTATCCCTTCTCCAAATTTCCCATTTTATTTTAGGTCACCATAATCCTCCCAGTCACCTAGGCTCATAGGCGTCATCCTTTCTCTATCTACAGGCCTAATTAGTGGCCAACTCTAGTTGTTTCTACCTCCATAGCATCTCTTGAATTTATGCCCTTTTCTTCACTCATTTAGGCCCACATTACATCCCACCTGAACTGTGGTATTAACCTCCTAATTTATCTCCTTGCCTCATTTCCCTCTACTCTCATCCATTCCTCACATAGCTATTAATGTAATAATATTAAGACAGACATCTGCACATGCCACTTTCTTGTTCAAAGAATTTGTGTGGCTCCCTATTTCCTCTTGGATAAAATACAAACTCCTTACCCTGGCATTTAAGGTCTTCCACATTATGGCTCCCACATACACTTTCCAATCTGATTTCACATTACTCCTCTTCACACATTTTAAATTCTAGTCACCAGACTATAAATTTTCCATCTCCCACCTCCAGGCATTTGCACAAGCCTAGAATATATTTTTCTTCAGCTCAACCTTTCAGAATGTTTATTTCATGTTAGACGACGTGTCCTCCACGAATCTTTTTCTGATTGATTTATTCAGTGTTCTTTTCCTTTATGAAAATTCCCATTTCATTTCATTTGATCTTGACCTATTCTTCCCTTCATTGCCTTGTATTTTATTTACATGTATTCCCCCAGTAGGATAGAATCTCTATGAATATAGGAACAATTCATCTTCTTGTCTTTATATCCTCAGTACCTAGTACAATGTCTGACTGATGCTTAACAACTTTTGTTCAATTAAGTTAAATTAATAACAAATGAATTAGGCTCAGCCCTAACTGTAAGGCTTGACAATAATGGTTATTCCAGAATTAACAATGGAGAAGACCAAAAAAGTATAGTCTACTCAGTACCCTTAAATTTGTTCATTTGTTTTAGCGAGAATCAATATACAACCACAGAATGCCCATTGAAAAGTTGACGTCATTCAAGTTTACCTTAAGTAGAGTAAAAGGATACTAGATAGTAGAAGGTCTAAACTGAACCCTCCTTAAGGGTAAGAACAATGTCTTTAGAGATTGTGGGGAGTAGGTAATAATTTTATAAAGCCATCCCAAATTGATTTAATCATTGATGTGAACAATATGACTTTTTTGGTCAGGCGTCCACAAGGGAGTAAGTAGAGTTTGACATGTTCTCCCTAGCAGCTTTTTCTCTTTGTGTCTGTAACTTTGCTTCTCGAATAAGAATTGCAGATTCTTCCTTAAAGGTGGAAGTATTCTATTTCAGAATATCAGTAATACAATTGAAATGAATCAATTCATCATATGGGATGGCTGGCAGAGTAATCTTTTTCTGGGGTTTTAGTATTCATTCATTATTTATTGTTATTGTTTGGAGCTTTTTCATCCTTTGTTGCTTTTTAAGTTCTTGCATGCATTCCTCTTTTTAGTTTTTGGGCAACAACCCTTGGTGCCTCACTCAGACTTGTTTTTGGCTTGAGAAGACTGTTTTTTTTAAACTTTGTTTTTATTATAACTTTAAAATTTTTCTGAGTTATGAATGTGCCTTTCCTGTTTTATCCCTCCTTCTGTGCATATATGTTTTTGAGTGTGCTGTAGGATGTTCATGGTTGACTGTGTGTTCCTTCAGTGAAGAACTCACTACTTTTTAACAGTTCAGATTTTGTAACTGTAAGCAAACACAGAGAAGAGAGGTAGAGAGAGACTGTGGAGGAGATTAACATTGATGTCATTAATCTGCAAAAGTAGATGGAAACTGATTTTTATTGATTATGCTATGAGATCAAGATGGGTTTTTTAAAAATATATATGTATATACACACAGAAACACACTTGTATGTATGAATGTGTGTAAACATATATACATATATTTACATACATACATACATACAGATAGAGAGATCTATATGTATCTATATGGAGGGAGTGAAGGAGGGAAGAAGTGAGGGAAGGAGGGAGAGAGACAGATAGACAGACAGATACACAGAGAGAGAGAGATGAGATGAGATGAGATGAGATACTAAGTGTGTGTAGGGGATCCTGTTGTACCAAGTGGTTGTTGATTTACTTTCAACTCCCATGCCTTTTTGTTGTTAATAGTTGTAGCTACAGACACATTTGCCAGTCATTTACTCTGGTGCTTAGGTCAGCTCACTGGAAGAAAGAGTAATCTTGGATGGTTGAAAACATACATTATTCTGACTTCTCTGCTTCTTGCTTTCCATGAATCTTTTATGAAAAAGAAATTCTTTTGAAAAAGTCCTAGAATTCTTTCATAGGACAATATTCTTAGACTGGCAAATAATACATTTCCAACCCAAACTATTGCTTTCAGCAGTTGACCAGAAGGCCAGTGCTGTAAGGCTTCTCTATGACAGCTCATTGTTACTTTTTACTTCACTCTCTTTTTATACTATCCCTTTACTTGCCTTTGAAATATTTTATTTCTAGTATTTTTCTTTCCTGGTGTATTCTCTGGTGATTACAAATCACATGCCTCTTTCCTGTACAAATGGCAGAGATTACCACAGGGATTTTAGAGCTTGATTGGAAACACTCAAGGTTGAATTGTCCAGAGGGCAAGCTGTTTGCTGACCAGCAAGGGAGAGGAGGAAGTTTGGTGTTGGATTTTGTAGTCAGAGGACTTGGGTTTACATCTCAGCTCCATTTTTTACAAGTTGAATAACCTTGGGTAAATAACTTAGCATTTCTGGGCCTCAACTTCTGAACAGTTGAACTTGATGACCTTTTCAGGTATAAATCGGTGATCCTGCAGTCTATATGCTCCTTGCCTCCCTCTCTCCTGAGGAATGGGTGGGCTTTCTTTAAAGATGAAGAACCACTTGGCTTCCAGGTTTGCCCTGCTTTCTAATGACAGAGACAAGAGACAGAGAGACAAACAGACATAGAGTGACACGCGGCACTTAACATTAAACTTGGGAAATTAAACTTGGAGAGACCCATCTGGTCCCTGAATTTGGCTCTCCTAAGACACATTTTGAGATGGCTATTTGAAGTGCTGAAAGTCTAATTGTTTGTGGAATGTGATAATGATGATGACTGTGATCATGGTAGTGGAAAAAGGCAGTGATAAACACTCATGACATTGATTGAAACCCTCCTGCTTTCAAGGAATTTCAACATTCCATTTAGAGGATGATGAATTTTTAAAATTGAGAATTGAGATGATAAATTTATTTGTTTAGTCACTTTAGTCATATCTGACTCTTGGCGATCTTATTTAGGATTTTCTGGACAAAGATACTGGAGTGGTTTGCCATTTCCTTCTCCAGCTCATTTTACAGATGAGGAAACTGAGGTAAACAGAGTCAGCTGACTTGCCCAGGGTCACTTCAGCTAGTAAGTGTCTAAGACCAGATTTAAATTCAAGAAGAGGAGTCTTTCTTACTCCAGGACCAGTACTCTATCCACTGTGCCACCTAACTACTCAATGACAAGGCTGAGACTGTGTGTTCTTCCTAGGAGTGGTCAAAGTGGTGAGTGGAAGAAGGGAGATTTGGATGTTGAATGTACCTGAAGGAGCAAATGGATAAGCATTGAGACACTTGGACAGATTTTTACTCTCCTTTCTTTGTGCTGATACTGGCACCATCATTTATTATTATTGTTTAAATGATAAGTTGTCTTGGGGGCAGAAAGGTGGGTAATAGGTCAACTGATAATAGATTTAGAGCTGGAGGGAACCTTAGGAACTACCAGATCCAACCTTTTCATTTTATAGATGAGGAAATTGAGACACAGAGAGATTAAGTAACTTGTCCAGGGTCACAAAGGAAAGAAAGAAACAAGCATTCATTAAATACTTGCTATGTTCCAGATATTGAATTAAGCATTTACAAATATGATCTCATTTTATCCTCAAACAACCCTGGGAGGTAGATATTATTATTATTCTCATTTTACAGATTAGGAAATTGAGGCAGACAGAAGTTGACTTGTCCACAGATCACAAGCAAGTAAGTATCTCAGGCCAGATTCGAATTCATGTCTCTTTGACTCTAGGCCCAGCACTCTGTCCACTGCAACACCTAGCTGCTTCCCCACCACTGTCATTAGGAGTCATAAAAAGTCTAATTATCTTTGTGGAGGCTAAAATTTAGCAGCTGAAATTTATCAGGAAGTATTTTGCACTGGGGAAGGAGGTGATGGCATGTTCTCTCAAGGATGTACCTCATACCTTCTCTTGCAGGTGGTGTGGTCCTCAATCCAACCTATTATGGCATGCCCGGCCATACCAACATCATGATCCATGAAGTAGGACATGTCTTGGGGCTGTACCATGTTTTCAAAGGGGTCAGCGAAAGGGAATCTTGTGATGATCCCTGCAGAGAGACTACACCAACCATGGACACAGGAGATCTTTGTGCTGACACAGCCCCCACACCCAAAAGTAAGCTGTGCCAGGACCCAGAACCTACTAATGACACCTGTGGCCAAAACCACTTCTCTGGGACACCATTCAACAACTACATGAGCTATACAGGTAATAGAAAATGACCAGAACATCTCCATCTTTGTTTTGTCTCATGAACATATCGTTTGGAGGGAGGGAAGGAAGGTAGGAGGTAGAAATAATTTGGAAGGGGGAAGACAGGGGGAGAGGGGTTGCTTTTATTCTATGTATCCTTGAAAAATTTGAAACACTGCTGGAGTGATGCAAGATTAATTCTGAGGGAGAAATCGGAACCTCTATCCCTGCAAATCTTTCAAAGGAGAATAAATACTTGTTGACCAAGTTTGTCAGGCTAGGACCTCTTGAGGATTCTCCCACATTCTGAGATACAGTGCTTCCATGGTATTCAATTGGTAATCACTTATTAACTGCCTACTATGTGCAAAGCACTGGATGTTGTTCATTCTCTTCAGGTATCAAGTCTAAAACAAACTCAGTGGAATGTAAAAGGGTTTGGGATCCCCCTTGTATTTATTTAATCTCAGTTTCTATTTGTCCTCTGTGATTCATTAAGGAAGAAATGAAAATTCTATTAAGATCAAAACTTGAATGTCTTTAAATGCATTTTAAAATTTTACTTTAAACTGCATCAATGTACCAAATACATATTTCCCAATAGTAGTTGAAGACCCATTTTTTCACCGTAAAACTGCCACCAGATCAAGATTACTGGTAAGTCAGTTCAACAAGCACTTATTTAGCCCTTACTGAGTACAAGCTATTATGCTAAGTGCTATGTTACAAAGGGAAAAACATATAATTTGCTGCCCTTGTGGAGTTATACTCTAACCAAGAGGGCATTAAATGTACACAGATAGATAAATGCAAGGTAATTTGGGGAAGGAGAAAACACTAAAGGATTTGGACATGGGAAAGTATTCTAAGAGAATGTGGCATCTGAAGTTAGCTTAAAGCATTCATAAAGACAGAAATAGGGAAGGAATCCAGTGCGTACATTGAAGATAGACTAATTCAAGGTCCATTTGTTTCTTCTAATTGGGATTGTATTTGGGTATTCCTGACTCTCAGGCCAACCATATTCTTTAGTTTCTCCTCCACCTAACCCCTATCTCCATATTCCAGCCTCAGCTCTGCCTTGACATAACTGTTGTTGATGTTCAGTCATACCTGACCGTTCCTGACCCCATGGTCTGTACTGTCCATGGGGTTTTCTTGGCAAAGATACTGGAGTGATTTGCTATTTCCTTCTCTAGTGGATGAAGGCAAACAGAGGTTAAGTGATTTGCTCAGGTTCACCCCTCTAGTAAGTGTCTGAGGCCAAATTTGAACTCAGGTCTTCCTGACTCCTGGCCCAGTGCTCTATCCACTGAGCTACTAACATAATTAACTAGGAAGATTATACTTGCTCTTAGTATTCCTCAGGCATACACATAACCTTAGGTTAAGAACAGCCTTGAGGCATTCCTTTTGATGCCCATAGTCACTCTGACCTCTGGGGTAAAGGAGAATTTACCAAGAAAGTCTTCTGTAGAAGGGATAGTTTTTCTGTGAGGTCCAGGGGTTCTCTTTCCTTCTTTCTTTCTTTCTTTCTTTCTTTTTTCTTTCTTTCTTTCTTTCTTTCTTTCTTTCTTTCTTTCTTTCATCCTTTCTTTCATCCTTTCTTTCTTCCCCTTTTTGGTGAGGCAGTCGGGGGTTAAGTGACTTGCTCAAGGTCACATAACTAGTAAGTGTCATGTGTCTGAGGCCAGATTTGAACTTAGGTCCTCCTGACTCCAAGGCTAGAGTTTATCCACTGCGCCACCTAGCTGCCCAGCAGGGGTACTTTCTTAAGGAACATCAATACAAAACGAAACAAACAAAAAACAGGAATGCTTCTGCCTGCATTTTTGTTGGGTCTTAATTTTTTTTTCCTTTGAAAAACACTTTAACCAAACACTGGTGATGACATTTATAATCAAGCAGTTCTACAGAGATAGCTGATAACCTGGTTACCTCTGTGACCCAGCAATAATTTTCTCACATAGTTCTGTATTGCCAAATCATCCAGGTACACCTAGTTAATAAATCCCACCCCTTCCCCCAACCAGCAAGTCTTGGCAGCTGCCAGAAGGAAGACAGACTCATGGCTTGCACCTCTGGGGAAACACCCAGGAAACTCATCTGCAGGTAGGGAAAAGGAAAGAGTTTTGAAATAAAGGAAATGTTTCAAATGTAGTAACAATTCTCCTTAATTATAATAGGAGATTCATCAAAAGTAAGCCACTTTCTTCTTCCATCAGTAGCATTGGGCCTTATTCCTTGTCTCGGGTTCTTGCAACATTTCTCCCCTACTCTGTCAGAGTCTCTGGACAAGAAACAGGGTTTCTTCAACATCACAAGTGGTCACACATGGAGAAGCCACGTGCTGAAACACTGCCATCTCGTGGTCTCTTGAATATTTAGCAGTCCATTCAGACCAATTTCTGAGCCTGGGGGCATTTGAATTTTATCTTCCTCTAGTGGAATAATTTGGAAATGATTCCCTACTTAATATGTAGCAGCACTTATCTTTCTCAACTTATTTTCTTTGTCTCTCTTTTATATTTCATTCACAGATGATGACTGCACTGATCACTTCACCCCAAACCAAGTGGCCCGTATGCATTGCTATTTGGATCTCGTGTATCAACAATGGAGTGACAGCAAAAGACCCACCCCCATCCCAATTCCACCAATGGTCATTGGACAGACCCAAGATTCCCTCACCATTCACTGGCTCCCTCCCATTAGTGGAGTTCTGTATGAAAGGTGAGATCAGTGCTTGGGAGTGGGGTGGAGAGAGTAGTTATAAGGGGTAATAGATTAGATTTTTTTTTTCCTTTTTGGAGAGTAGTGGGGAATGAAGGTTTCCTGTGTGCCTGCACAGGGAAAACCCCAAATTGTACCAGTGAAAAATTAATGAGTCACATAGTAAGCTCCAGAACACTCTCTTGACCCTTATTTTTACTCCAGTCCCAGATCTGACCTCATTTAGTAAATGACTAGCCAGCTCACTACATGTGCTCATTTTTCTGGGAGGATGTCTGACAGGCATTTCTTTGGACACCCATATAGAAAATGTCACATCTGGCATGACAGCTGTGGTTGTCCAGCAGTTGAGGAAGGTGTTGAGGATGAACTGGCAGGCTCTGAAGTGTAGTTGCCAATTGCCAGGCATTAGTCACTACCTTCTCAGTGAGGGAAGTGGCCAGCTACTACTCTAATGTCAGAGAGGAGAAAAATAGGGATCCTTCCTCCTGGCTGTGCTGGTGGGATGTGTGTATATTTTGCACAAAAAATTCGAGGCAGTCCCTGACAAATATTGAGTTTGAGAGCACAGTATAGGGTTCAGTTCTGTGCAGAATTGGGAAGTAGGTGGTTTCCTTTGGTGTTCCCAAGCTTTCTCTTCAGGACTTTGCTCCTTTCAGAGATCCTGGATGTTCCACATTCCCACCAGGCACTTTGCTTGTAATGTCCTTTTTACTCTTCTCACTATGATCAAAACCCCACCCTGGGATCTTTTATTTGTATTGAGACATTAATGACTGACAATAACTTAAAATGTGGCCCCTCCCAAAATTATTGGCATCTTGACAGTTATCAAAGTCTTAAGGTAAAACCCAGAAACCTGACTGAGGTTATTTGCCCAGGAGGTTGGGCAAAATTGGTGGTCATAGGATGCTTTTTGGAACTGCCTTGATCTACTACATCAGTAATTGACTACTTCCCCTGGGAGGAAAGATTGGCTTTGCTCTACTCCCTACTGTAACCAAGACAAAGCAAGGATGTGATGTACCTGAATAGAATTCCTTACAGTCAAATGCTACATGAGTTTGAATGTGAGAGGAGAGTCAGGGAGGAAGAAGGCAACTGTGATGTAACAAAAAGTCCTAAAGGTACTTTCCCCAAGCTTTCTTGAGGTGACAATCACTTTGATTCCACATTGACAGCTTCCATTTGGTGGTATAACTTCCTTTTTATGCTGCTTTTGTATTTTAAAGTACTTTTTTTCACATCCCTCTCATTTGATCCCCTTCAGAATCCTATGAGGTAGAGTTAGGAAGACCTGGGCTTAAATTCCTCCTCAGGTACTCACTCGCTATGGGACTCTGTACAAGTCACTTAACTGCCTCAGTTTCCCCATCAATAAAATAGGAATAATGATATGATTTACCTCAGTGTTGTTATGAGAAAAATACTATTATATATATGTGTATATTCACATATAATGAGGTATAAGATCTCATATATAAACATACTTTCATTATATAATATGACTATTATAAATAACTATACTACAACTGTGTAGTATATATAAGTATATACCACAATCATGTAGGGTATATATATATATACTATATTCTACACTATGTATTTATATATATAAAACTATAAATAGTTATGCATATATACTTTATACTAAAAACTACAATTATGTTTTTATTACATATAATGATTATATATCATATTTATATAACTATATAAATGATAGCTCTATATAACTATGTACATACTATGTTTAGTATATGTGCTATAGACACTATATACTATACATAGTATACTATGTATAGTATATATAGTTATATATATTTATTAAATTTCATGTATATGCTTTGCAAACTTTAAAGTATAATATAAATTTCAGCTATATTGATACCTATGAGCTATTATGTGTCTATCTGTGTTTTTTGTGTGTATATATATATATATAGATATAGCTATATACATGCATACATATGTATATATTTGTATTGGTATAGGTATATATGCAAGGATCAAGTGAGATAATGCATATAAAACTTTATAACATTAAATCACTATAGAAATGACATCTATTATATACATACATGATGTATATATGTTAGAAAAATTCATCTGTAGATTAAGGTAACTTAAAATTAATTTTGTCTGGGGAATTTTTTTTCATAATTTTATGATATCCCTGTAGCAATCCCTGGGGAGAAGGAAAGGGTAATAATTATAAAACTAGAAGGAAGAATCATTGCCTAACATTTTTATGTATTAATATATGTATATATGAACACATATTATCTATACCCAGAGTCACTTAGTGTATGAACAATAAGGTCATCACATGCTAGTTATACATGCATCTCTCTTATGTGATGGGGCGAGGGGTATCTTTCTGCACCTGTGATTTTGTGTAGCTTGGATTGGGCAGACTGAAGAGCAAGCCCTGTAGGAACACACACAAACCAGAATTTTACATCCGTTTACATAGCACACATAAACAATTTAATCTTTCTATTTTCTCTCCGGTACAAACCTGACGACAAACCCGACATCAGCACCCGGTTGCCACAAGCTGCTGGCTGAGAAGACAGCCATTTGCTTTCTTACATCGCTTTGAGGGGTTGTAGTTTCAAGATCTCCTGATATGTTCATTGGTTATAGACTCACGTCACATCCCCAGGAGTTTACGTGGGGCAGGCTACTGTGTTTACCATCCCTAGTTGGTATTTGGAATTCTCATGTCATAAGGGGGCCCTGTCTACGCATACAAGCAAGAAGAAAGGCCAAATGTATCCAAGAAAACATGATGAGTTCGTGGCCATTGAAAATGAGTATCAATGCCAGGAAAGTGAGGGGCCTATGGAAATCTTCCACTAATTACAAAAAGAGCAGAGTACCAGAACTTATTAAACTGTGTATACCAACATTCCAGCAGAGTGTCAGAAATCTTCCCTAAGAGAGATGCTTCCCCAGAACGCTGGGGAACTGTTCTGATTTAATGCCTGTTTCCATCCCCAGCTGCACTGTGTCTGGGGAAACTGTTCAGTTTTGAGGGAACAGCCCTCAAGAACTACTTCCCTGACCTCCAGCTACTGCTAGCTTCCCCTTTCTTGGTGGCCCAGAATATGGACTTGTTATGCTACTGCATTCATTTTATTTGGTCAATGTCATTAGTAGTTGAGAGTATTTTAATACAGCAGGGGAATTCATTCAATAGATCACTGCTGAGAGGTCAGTGGTAGAAGAAGCTCTGTACTAAATATCAAGAGGTTGGGTTCAGATTCTGGCTCTGGATAAACACTGTAGCTTTTCTGAGCCTTAACTTCTTCATCTGTAAAATGGGAAAAGTAATACTTGCACTACCTACTTCATATAATCTTTGTTCTGAAGAAAACTCTATGAAAACTAGAAAGCATCACATAAATATGTTGTTAATTCAACAACTTTTATTAAGGCAAGATGCAGCAAGACAGTGGATAGAGAGCTAGCATTATACATACTTGTGTCTAATGGTAGCCATCTCGAAGGCAGGGGTGGAGGGAGGGAAGAAAAAAAAGAAATTTACATGATAAATTTATTATATATTTAAAAGGAATAGCAAATTATACATAGTAGATTTGCAGTTTCACGTGCAATTACCTTTTTTATTATTCTACTGTTATGGAAATGCTCATTTTATTTCATAAATTAAAAATTAAATAAATAAAAAAAATAATATAAAAAGACACAGAAAGACCTGGAATCAAATTCCAACTCTTAACTGGATCATGGACAGATTAAGACACTTGTCCCAGGAAGTTCTGTAAGCAAGGGTTATATGCCTCAATAGAGGGAGTTTTCTTCCCAGTAGTTCTTTATAACAACTGAATCATCCCCTCCAAAAAAAATTATTCAAAGCATGAGTGAGGTGGTAAAGGAGATACAAAGAACACTTGCTCCTTACCCATAGGGAGCTTACATTTAGGAAAATTAATTCAGGTTTATGAAAATTAATATGGTCATATAAATATCTAAATCTTATTTTGAAATCTTTTTCTTTTCTTTTTTTTTAACATCAAGAGGAACACAAGAAGCTTTTGGACTCCACAACAGAGTCATTAGCGATGAAGGAAGCCTATGTTGCAAAGAAACAAATTACAATTTTTCATATTTTAATGAAATTACAATACTAACTCCTCCTTATCCCCTGGCTGCTTGGTTAGAACTGATTTCTCCTTTATGACCTTTAGATTTCTATGTTGGTATGAATCGTGCTGAAGGGAAGTCTAAACAAGGAGGAAATGAATGGGGTAATAAATGGGTCTCTGCCTTCACACTCTTGGCTTTGGACTCTCATGCTTTCCTCCTTTTTGGTCTTCTAGTCTTTGAGTGTCCCTTCCTCTCTCTTCCTCCTAAGGGATGCTGGCAGTCTGTGTGGAGTGTGCACAGAAGATGGGACTTTCCGCCAATATGTCCATTCTGCTTCTTCACGTCGTGTGTGTGACTCTTCAGGTTACTGGACTCCCGAGGAAGCAGTAGGTAAAACTGAGCAGCTTCTCACTTTTGGCCCTACACTAGCGAATGCCAGAACCATGACACTGGTCCTGCAGATGAGCAGGAGAGTAAGAGAATGGGTTGGACTTAGTCTTAATTTGGGACAAAACACTTCACCTCCTTGACCTGCTTCTTCCTTTATGAATTTAAGTGATGCAAGGCTGAATGAGTGATTATCAGATTTTTTTTTTGGTAATTGATGCACAATTGCAACTTCTTTGAAAGACTGCCTGTAGAGATTATTTTGATGTCCTAAGTGACAGTGATGGAAGGGAAGAATGGTCCCTCTCAGTGTCTTGGAAAGGCAATGGGGTAGGAGTATTCATAAAGTAACTTTAGGATGGGCACATTGAATTGTGTATCCATAACTATTGGCTAAACATTGTCATATTATATTATTATATTATATATTATAAATATTGTTATATTACATTTTATTTGTTCTATTATACTTCAAGAAATATAACATAAGACATTTTGGCCTCAACCTGTGATTTCATCAGTATAGGTAAACCCCAGTGTGGAAACTCCCTCTGAACTGAGAGATTAAGTGATTTTCCTGAGACAATGCAGATAGTATGTGTCAATGGTAGGGTTTTAAACAAGTTCTTCCTGACTCCAAGGCTGGTTCTCTAGCCATTATACAACATTATAATATACTCAATATACTATATAATTGTTTAAATGAATGTAGCTATATAATATTTAACATAAATAATAAACATATCTGGGAGACAGCCTGACCCACAAAACAGTGAAGTCCTACTTCTTAGTCATTTGTTTCAAGAAAGTAATGGAAAACACATTATAGGGGGACACTCTTATGTTGGAGGGAGTCGATGGGGATGAACTAGGTGTTCCAAACTGTTCGTTCTGATCTATGGTATTTATGAGTCTATTAACTGGGAACTAGCTGTACTTGAGACATAATTTAAGCCAGGCTCCCTAAAGGCTGAAAATGTTTTAGCTGTCACTTTCGTGATCCCCCTTCCCCACTTCACTCACATATATACTAGCATCCATTAGCTCACTTTACAGAGGGAATCTTTTTCTCCTTCCAAAGGAGAAAGGCCAAAAAAAAGATTCATTATTTTTTCTTCATGTTTTTCTGAATCCTTCTCACCAAAGGGAGACATTACTAGTGCTCTCTTTTTCATCACATCTTCAGCATCATTACATCGTCAGCATCAGCATTACCATTATTATTGTGTTTTTATCATTCATGAAGAACCACTGTGCTGTTTGCTACTGGAGACAGCGTTGGTAGAGATATAGTTACCTCTTGACAGACTTGTATTCTCAAATCACACAGAGAAAGATTGAGCTTAATATGGTCCAACAGCTAAAAGTGTTCAAAAAATTGTCACTTTTTATGTGCAAGAAAAAAGAACCTTGAAGAAGACTGGAGGAGGTAAAAGCCTTGATTGACTGTATACAATATCCTAAATCAGAGTTTTCTGAGAAGAATGGAAAAAAGGAACATAAACTCTGCACTGGCAGGGTATCTGAACAATTTAGATTGGCATTTCATGAAAGACCATTTTTCTGTAGCAAACAGTTTGTCCTGTGCTGATGTTTTAGGACCTGTTTCTTTCTCTGGCCCTTTATTTATCTTTTAATTCTTGGGAAAAAATTCAAAGATCTTCTGGGTCTACACACCAACAAGAGGTAAGAGTAAGGAGAAACTCTGAATTCTAATGCCTGCTGAGTGGTATGGGGCAAAGCACTTTAGTTTCCTTGGCCTCCCTTTTAGTGTCCAAAATGTGCATTTATTAAGGACTTACTATGTGCTAGGCATAGTGCTAAACACTGGGGATAGAAATAAAAGCCAACAAGACAGTTCCTACCCATGAGGAACTTATATCCTAAAAGAGAAAGACAAATCATAAGGGGGAGATGGAAAGCAAGAGAGGGGTACCCATATGGAGCAAGGCTACTGGCAAAGAAATGGAGAAGTCTAGAAAGTGAGTTGAGCTGGAGCCTCCCATGAAATGGCAATCACAGCTAAAGATTAATTTACCCAGTCAGGAAAGCAAGTTCCAGGGTAGAGGGCTCTCAAGGTGAGGCAAGCCTTCTGACTTCTAAGAAGGACCTTCCTCATAAACCTGGCTTCAGTTCAATAGGGACCAATAGTACTATTTCCTAATTTGCTGGTCTCTAGACCATGACCTAGTACTTTAAAAAATACCTTAAAACACTTTACCCACTTCTTTGAAAAGGTAGGGGAACTATGGGTATGGAACACTACAGTTATTGAACTATTGATTAGTTTTGCTGAGCTTATTTTTCTTTTAAAAAAAATTATTTGTTGTCATAGAGGATGCCTCTCTGAGATGAGTAGGGAAGGAATATATTGGAAAATGTAGATGATATAAAAACAAAAAAAATTAACAACAATTATGGAAAAAGAAGCTTAAAGATGATGAAATATTGGCACATTCCATATTCAGAACCAAATTCATGGAAATATTTATAAGTAACATCATAGTTCATTCAGCCCCATTCAACAACCATTAATAATCTACTAATGTGCTAGGTACTATGGAAGGGACATGTACTAAAAGGAATAGGACACAGTCCCTGCCCACAGAGTTAACAAACTGGTAGGAGAGATGTCAGGCGTGAGGGTACGTACCTGTAATCCCTGCTACTGGGGAGTCTTAGGCTGGGGGATCGCTTGAACTTGAGAGCTCTGAGCTCTAATGTACTAGGCCAATTGGGTATCTGCACTAAGTTCAGTCTCACACCAATACGATGAGCCCTCCCAGAGCATAGTCGTCAGGCTGCCAAAGGAGGGGCGGACTGGCTCAGGTTGGAAAAAACAAAGTTCGTGTTCCAATAAGCAGCTGGATCAGGTCCGAGAGTGGCTGCTGAACAACCAGCCTGGGTGAGATGGGGAGATCTAGTCAAGAGGGGCATACGCAGAGATAGAGACAGAGAGAGACAAGGAAAGGAGACACAGAGAGAGACAGAGATAGATGGAGAGTTAGAGACAGAGAAGGGAGAGATAGAGAGGAAGGGAGCAGAAAGAGGAAGGGAGACACGGCAAAGGAGAGGGAGAGGGGAAAGGGAGAAAAGGAGAAAGAAGAGAGGAAAAGAGGGAAAGGGAGAGGGACAGAGGGAGAGAGGGAAAGAAGGAGAGATGGAGAGATGGAGAGGGAGAGGTTAATACAAGTCACTAGAAAAATCACTAGAATACCAAGTAGAATGGGATGTATCATAAGTTGTACTAACTATCTGAGAACGTTTTGCAGTGTTTTGTGTGTTGCTTTTGAAATTTTGTATCCTGAATTACTAAGGCCATATGCATTTGTGGAGTGGAAAATAAAACCACTTCCATGGATCATTCCTGCATATATGACCTCTTGAAGCTTTATGATTTGTATTCCTTTATAGATATTAGTGAGGCAGTGTTGCGTGATGGTCAGAGCACTGTCCTTTGAGCCAAGAAGACTTTTAATTGTGCCTCTGACAAATATTCATTGTGTGACCTTTGGCTAGTCACCTGATCTCTCAGCATTTCAGGCAATTCTCAAAAATGATAATCTGCTAGACTCTCAGTTGTTAACGTATAACCGGTAGGTGGAGTTTCCACACTGAGGATTCCTTAAAATGGTGACATTATAGGTCTCACATCTCCAGCCAATTATGCTCATTCGCATATATAACTTGTCAACTACATGTCTATTTTACTTTCATTTGATAATGCTTGTTTATTTCTCTTGCCCCCCCCCCCCCAGCTTTCCCTGGGGAAATACTCACAGATAGCATAATGGCACAACAATGAGAACTTTAAAACCAATCTAAAAAAATAGGCTGTAGCAAAGACAGGTTATGAACCAGTGTTCATGGTTGGGTGAGATGCCAAGTTGGAATCTAAAGAACCGGAAAGAAATTCTGGGGAGAGGGGAGAGACTCAGAAAGCATTGTGTTTAAACTTCATTGACTTGGAATTTGTGTTGACACTGCAGCAGCTAGACTAGTATTAATACTTTTTAAATCTATCAATAAATATTTATTAAGTGCCTACTATGTGCCAGGCACTGTGCTAAGTGCTGGGTATGCAAAAATAGGCAAAAGAAAGTTCCTGTCCTTAATGGAATGCACAACCTAATGGGAGAGAAAACATTCAAACAAATGTGCATAAGCAAGCTATGCATAGGATAAAAGGAAAAATTAGTAATAGAGGGAAGGCTCAAGAATTAAGAGGGGTTAGAGAAGGTGTCCTGTAGAAGGTGGGATTTTAGTTGGGACTTAATATGTAAATAACCATTTATATCCAAAAATTATAACGTACTTAAAATAACTTGGTTTCCCTAAGGACATCAAACCTAGCAAAAGCTAGCTTGTTAACCTAGCTTTTGAACCTAGAATTTGTGCCGATGCATTCCCATTCTTTTGACCTATTCCCTTCTGCCCTTTCAAGGACACATATTTAGAGCTTATTGATTAAGTTAGACCTCAGTATGTCTGGTAGATATGGTGACCTATCATGGGGGATTTGTAAGAGGACATGGATGAGGAATACTGAGGAAGGTCAGGCATAGATGTACAGTCTTGTGATCTGCATAAGGATAGAGACTAGTACTTTGGTCCACACAGGAAACTCCCAGATGAGTAAAACCCCTTTTACCAATGTAAGATAGCACCATCTATGCAACTTATAGTCTTTTAGAGTTGCCTAGAGCCTGGAACAGCTAGGTGGCACAGTGGATAGAGCACTAGCCCTGACTCCAGGAAGACCTGAGTTCAAATCTGGCCCCAGACCCTTACTAGCTGTGTGACCCTAGGCAAGTCACTTAACTCTGCCTCAGTTTTCTCATCTATAAAATGAGCTGGAGAAGGAAATGGCAAACCTCTCCAGTATCTTTGCCAAGAAAATCCCCAAAAGGGGTCACAAAGAATCAGACATGACTGAAATGACTCAACAACAACAATAAGAGCATTGGAAAGTTAAATATCTTGCCCAGGGTCACACAGGAAGTATATAGGGTACAACTTGAACCCCTTGAACCTTGATCTTGGCTTGGGGCAGCTCTCCATCTATGATACCCTGCCTGCCTTGCAATCTGCCTAGGTGGAGGGGATATTTCCATTGACACACAGATCTATTAGAATACTGGACTAGATATAGGGTTATGTACTATATTAATATAATGACCTCATATCCTTATCCTCATTAGCACTAGGCTCTAACCAGCCAAGCTGACCTGTGAGAGTAGTGCTTGACACAAGTACAGGATTTTATTCTTTATCTTTTTTTGTCATTGTCTTCTTTTTTTGTCACTCCTCCCTCTCACTGCCTTTTCCTAGGGCCCCCAGATGTGGACCAACCCTGTGAGCCAAGCTTACAGGCCTGGAGTCCAGAACTCCATCTGTACCATATGAACATGACTGTCCCTTGTCCAGCAGAAGGCTGTAGTCTGGAGCTGCTCTTCCTCCATCCGGTCCATGCAGATACCCTTACACTGTGGATCACCTACCTCTCCATGGATTCCCCCCCAAGCTCTCTTTGACATGGAGGTCTTAATGGAAAACCATGAATCTATTCATCTGGGACCCTTGGACGCCTTCTGTGACACTCCCCTCACTGTCAAACTTAATGTTGAATGGAAAGTCTCAGGAGTGAAGGTCTACACATTTGATGAGAGGATGGAAATTGATGCAGCTCTCCTTACCTCTAAGCCTCATAGCCCACTATGCTCTGGCTGCAGGCCTGTGAAGTACCAGATCCTTCGGGATCCCCCATTTAAAAGCAACTCCCCTGTCATGGTGGCACATCGTCATCGGAAATTCACTGATAAGTGAGTTGGAAAACTGTCTTGGAGTTTTTCTAGTGTTTCCAATGGGATTATGGTTTTCTTTCTTTAGGAGTTTTTAAACACCTATTATGTTCTAGGGGGCTATGGTAAGTACTAGGGAAACAAATATTAAACAGTCTCTGCTTCCAAGGAGCTTACAGTCAATTTGGTAGACATTTAATAAACACCTACTGTGTGTCAAGTGCTGGAGAAACAAAGCCCAAACTGAACAGTTAATGCTATCAAGGAGCTTACTCTCAATTCAACATGAATTTATTAAGTGTCTCCTACACTAAGTACTAAGGAACAAAAGACAGTCCCAGACCTCAAAGGATTTACACTCTACTGAGGGGGGCAAAATGAGTACATAGACAAAAAAATAGAAAATATAGATAGTAAGTGTGAAGTGGTTTCTGAGGGGAAGAGTATTAGTTTCTGTGGAGGAGACAGCATTTGAACTGAGTTTTGAAGGAAGCTCAGTATTCTAAGAGGAGGGAGAACATTCTAGGCAGGGTTGACAGCTTAGGTCAAGGCAAAGAAATGGGAGGTAAAATGCCTTATATGAAAAACAGCAAGTGGTTAAACTGGTCTGGAATATAGAATATATAGAGGAGAATAATATGCTATAAGATTAGAAAGGTAGATTGGAGCCAAATTGGAAAGGGCTTTAAAAAAGAAAACGAAGAGAAGAGTTTAGCTTTTATCCTAAAGACAAAGAGAAGCCTCCTTCTTGAGGGGGGAAGTGGCATGATCAGATCTGTGCATTGGGAATATTGATTTTTAAGTTATGTGGAGGATGGTTTGGAGAGGGGAGAGACATGAGGCAGGGAGACCACTTAGTAGGTTATTGCAGGAGTCCAGGGAAGAGGTGATAAAGGCCCTATTACTATTGTATGCATGTGAGTGGAGAGAAGGAAATGGATGCAAGATACACTTCCCAAACAAGCTCAATGAGACATGACAATGCATTGGATGTGGGGAGTAAGGGAAAGTGAAAGGTTGAAGGTGACTCTGAGGTTGTGAAGTTGGGTAATTAGAAGTATGATGATCCCCTCAATGGAAATTAGGGAAGTTTGAAAGGGGGGATCATTTTGGGGGGGGTAAATAAGGGTCTGTTTTGGACATGTTAAGATTAAGGTACCTATAGGCATCATCCATTTGGAGCAGCCCAATATCTGTTTGGTTATATTGGCCTGTGTTCAGGAAAAAGAATAAGGCTGGTAATATAGATATGGAAGTCAAATGAAAAGACATGATAATTAAACCCCTGGCAGTTCCTGAGATGACTGAGATAGAGACTGGAGAGAAGCTATACCATAGAGCCCTGGAATACATTCATAACTGGAGAAAAGGATGATGATTCTGCAAATGACACTGAGAATTATTGGCCAGATATATATATGTGAAAAAACAGAGACTAGTGTCATGAAAATTCAGGATGTTACAGGTTTCTATTTGAAGAAGGTGATCAGCAGTATCAAATGCTACAGAGAATTTAAGAAGATTAAGTAATGAGAAAAAGCTATAAGATTTGGCAATTATTAGATGATTGATAACCTCAGAAAGCAGTTTCAGTTTAATGCTGAGGAGGAAGTCAGATTGTAGTGGGTTAAAAAGTGAATTTGAGGTAAGAAAATAGAGGCAACAAATGTAGATATCTTGTTATAAGAGTTCAGCCATGAAATAGAAAAGAGATATAGGCCAGTATATGGGCAAATAGTAGGATTAAATGAAGGTTTTTTGTTTATTTGTTTTCTAAGATGCAGTAGATTGGGGCATACTTGTAAGCAATAGGGATGAGATCAAAGACACAAGTAGAAGGGTTAGTGTTGTCAGAAAATAAGAACTACCTGTACCTCCTAGATTGGAGTAAAGGAAGACAGAAATGGATCATGACATTGAGGTGGCTTGAAATATGAAGTTGGAGAGAAAAAGGAGCTTGTGATAAATAACCTCAATTTTTTTTGACATAATACTTGGTGAATTCTTCTATTAGGGATGATAAGAGGGGAATTGTGTAGGTAGTCTGAGGAGAAGGGAGAAAAACTGGAATAGATGCTTAGTAGAGTAGAATATAGAGTCAATTGGGAAAATAGTAAAAGGATTGTTGTTCAGGAATGTGACTTACAGAGGATTGGGCTAGCATGATTGTGTGACTTCCTCCATTTGCTTTCAGTAGCATGGATGTGAGATTTGAGAAAGTGGATGGACAGTGGGAACATTTGTAGATGATAATGAAAGCAAGGATCTGCTTGAACTTTTTTAGCCCTGTATGAAGCTGTAGTAGAGTGAAGGTCATGGAGATAATAATAATAATACTTAAATACTTTAAGATATATGAAGAGTTTTACACATAGAATCTCTATTTGATTTGATTCTCACAACAATCCTTTGAAGCAGAGAAATAGCATCTACTCAGATAAATAAATAGAAAATAACCACAAAATAAATACAAAACAATCTCACTTGGGAGTGGAGAAGAGCATTTAACAAGGGGGATCAAGAAATGCCTTGTCTAGGTGTTGATACGTGAACTGAAGGAAGTTTGAAGAAAGCCTGGATTTTGAAGAAGCAGGGATGAGGATAAAGTGCATTTCAGTCACACAGCCTTTACAAAGGCATGGAGGTTAGAGATGAAATATCATGGACAGGGAAAAGTCAGGTAAGTCACAATTGCACGGATTGTAGAGTAAGCAAAATTTGTTTAAGGAGCCACCAAACTTGCCTTCCTATAGCTCATTCACCACAAACTTGGCAACTACCTAATGCAATGAGAATTTCTTCTGGCTATCAAAATCTACCTGAGGAAAGGTTGTGATATGCTCATTCATACTGAGGTTTAAAGAACTAATAACATTAAAAACAAAACAAAACATTTCAATAAGCATTAATGAAAGGAGTTACTATGTACAAGTATCTGTGCCAAAGCTAAGGAAGATTGAAAGTTGAATAAAGCACTGGCCTCCCCTCAAGGAATTTGTAGTCTTATAGGAAAGATACAAAAATGACGATGATATAAGGCAGTTTATGTTAAAGGTGTGAGAGATACAAAGTGTTGTGAATGAGGTTTATAGTAATAAGGCTGTGATAAGGCTTAATATCTTCATTCTCCTCAACTGCTGATGTATAAACAAAGGATAAAGAATAATTGTCTAGATGAAGAACATTAGGCATCATAGAAAATCTTATAGAACATAGACTTCTTCTAGAATATAGGAGAGGAGAGAGTAGGGCAAGCTAATGATCCTGAATACATACTTAGTACCGTACTTTAAGGAAGCTGCCTTGTCTTTATAAGACTTTTCTTAGGAAATAATCATCTGGACCAGTGCAAGAACTCTCTGGTTGGCCTTGTTGTCTCAAATATCTCCCAGCTCTAATCCATCTTCCAGATCTTCCTAAAATGCAGGTCTAATGCACACCTTCTGCTCAATAAACTCCAATGGCTCCCTATTACCTCTGGGATCAAATACAAAATCCTGTGTTTAGCTTTTAAAGCCCTTCATCACCTGGGCCCTTCCTACCTTTCCATTCCTCTTACACTTTCATGGCCCTTCTCATACTCTGCCATCCAGCAATATCCTCATTGCTGATCCTCACAAAGGACATTTTATCTTCCTGCTATGGTCATTTTCACTCACTTCCCCCTCCCCCGATGCGTGGAATTCTCTCCCTCTTTCTCTCTACCTCCTGGCTTCCCTTGCTTTCTTCAAATCATAGCTACTCACCCCCCACACCTCACCCCACTACTGCAAGAAGCTTTTCCTTATGCTCCTTAGGTTTTTCCTCTAAGATATCTCCAATTTTCCCATACAGTAATAATATTTTGTATGTGCATAGTGGTTTATGTGTTGTTTCTTCCACTAGAATGTGAGTTCCTTGAGAGCAGGGATTGTTTTGGGCTTTCTTTCTATCCCCAGAGCTTAACAAAGCACCTGGCACATAGTACTTGATTAATAAATGCTTGTTTACTTTACTTGCCTTGGAAATGAAAAAAAAAATGGTTATTTGACCTATTCAAAGAAGTATGAAGAAAAAAATTCAAAGAAAAACCAAAGTTAATCCCAAGTTCCATAGCTACTATCATCCTGGTTGCTTCTAAGATCCCCCCAAATCAGTTCCTTTTCATATTATCAACTGGGTGGTACAGTGGATAGACCACTGACACTGGAATGTGGAAGAACTGAGTTTTGGCCTTAGTTGTTTACTGGCCTTAGATGTTTACCAGCTCTATGATCCTGGCAAGTCACTCAACCTTTCTCAGTCTCAGCTTCTTTATGTGTAAAGTGGAGGTAATAATACTCTCATAGTTGTTATGAGGACATAAGGAGATCATCTTTTTATCTTAAGTACTATATACATACTTGCTATGGTTATGATACAGTTGTGTGCCTTCTTAATATTTCTCTACACTAAAACATTTGCAGAGGACAAGAGTGCATTCAATTCATTCATCATTTAACCTTGACTTTGTACCTACCGTGTATATATGGTGTAGTCTGGAAGGGAATGGGTAGAGGAGAATATAAATATAAATGACACAGTCCATGGTTTTAAAGAGCTTAATTCTGGTAGAAGACACAAGACTTGTACACAAATAACCATAACATTTGTTGTAGTAAGTAAACATGACAAGTACTGCAAGAGAGACACAAAGTGCTATAAGGGTCATGGGAGACCTTGAGAGTAAAGACTGTTTCATTCTTTGTATTTGTTTCTCCAACACCTAGCATTGTATCTGACATAGAGGAAACTCTTAATTTTTGTTGATTAATTGCAGCAAAAGATCAATTCTCTCTAGGGACTGGGGGTGGGGTAATCAGGAAAACCTTCCTGAAGAGAGTTGGATTTGATTTTAGCTTGAAAGGGTGGATAGATTTGGACAGACAGACATGGGAGTGGGGAAGGTTTTTCCAAATAGACAGAATAGTGTGACCAAAGGCAGAAAGGAGGCAGGCGTAGGGGCTGGAATGCATATTTGGGGAATGATGCTCTATTCCAATTTGGTTGGAACAAAGGGTATATTAAAAAGCATAGTAGAAGTTCAGGCCTGATTGCCATAACCATGAATAACAAGCTGAAGAACTAGTGATTCATTCAGTAGGTAATGAGGAGCCAATGAAACTTTGCGGCTATTATCAGTCCCATGTTTAATGAAGGTAACTCTAGCAGTGGTGTGTAGGCTGAGAAACTAGAAGGGGAGAGCATGTCTCTTCATACTATCCTATAGCCTCCTTTCACTGTTTCCCCTTTGGTTTTGACAGGGAAGTTACTCCTGGTCAGGTATATCAATACCAGATTCAAGCTGCAGCTGGCACAGAACTGGGAGAAGCCTCTCCTCCTCTGATCCATATCCATGGCACCCCCTACTGTGGGGATGGGCAGGTGACAGAGTGAGTACTCTTTCCAGTAGGAACTTATGAGCAAAGATGATTACATGGTGAAGGACTTTCAGTCCAAAGTTTGTGTTTTGATGCATTGTATGAAATTGGGGTAGGGTAAGAAATGTCAACCTTTTTAGTAAATCATAGATTCCCGGAATCCAGAGCTTAAATAGGAATCTTCAATGGGAATCACAGTTCACCTACCTCTAGATTTTGGCAGTTGATCTGAACTCCTCACTTTGTGGTAACTCCACATTATTGGAAAAAGTGGTTACTGGGAAAAAGTGGTTACTGGTCAGTGACTCAAAGAGGCATCTAAGTGGGAGAGAAGGAGATGAATTGTAAGCTTCTACTTAAACATGACCTGAGAACCAACATATTGGCAGGGTAGTATATTAGAAACACCATTGAACTAGGTTCCAGGATTGGCTCTGCCACTAACTAGCTGAGTTACCTAATAGCTAGTGAGAAACCCAGGGGAAGAGAGTGTACCATCACATTGCCTTAGAAATAGAAATATTTGTTCTTGTAAACTTCTTGATTCTATGTTATTGTATTTTGTTTTGTTTTACTTCTCCCATAGTTACCTAATAAAGCTCCTTTTGAAATGTCAAATTTATCTTTGTTAAATTGAGGGAGTAAGGATTTCTTTTTCTGTCCTAAGACTTAGAGAAACAGGGTTATGGGATTACCCCTAGAGGCCACGGTGTGGTGATGGTTATTACAGAGGCCACATCAGTCCTCAAACATTCTGGAAGCTGGACTTATCAGAAAGGTGAAAATTCATGATCAGGGACCACAAGGTGGAATCATGACTGTTGTTCCTCTCCTATCCAGGATATTTCCTAAGGTCGTAGGGATGTCTTCTATCATAAAATGTCCCAGTGGAATTGGCTCAATATCTGGGGTCTATAATGGCAGATGACTCAGGGTACCAGCTTTCCATATTTCCCTTTCAGGCTTGTAAGACCAAAAGAGTTATCATAAAAGGGCTGAATAGAAGGGTCTTGCATTGCAAACATGGTGAAATAATTAGAGCCTTGGAAGAGAGTATTTCAAAAGCCTTGTGATCAGAGCAATTCATAAAGTTGTAGAACATCTTGGTAAGGGACCAACTGTGTCTTTGTCAAATTGTATATCTTTTTCTTCTATACAGAACATTATTATTGAATAAAAAACACTCAGTGCCTCAGGGTCATCAAGCATTCTGTACTCCCAACATTGTGTAGTGAAGTGTCAAGAACCACAAGTAAGGGTTTATGTTTATGGGAATGCACTCGCACAGACTAAACAGTCAGGAACTAACGCGACTTTCTGGAAAACATCTAACACTCTAGAAGGACATTTTTCAGTGGGCAATGAGAAGTCAATTACAGTTTTTCTTTTGTGGGGGAAAAGTGGCAGAAATGGAACAGCCTTAGAGAAGTTCTTAGCTTTCTTTTAGTGGTTGGCCCATCATGGCTTGAATATTCCTTTTGATGTGTGGAAAGAACACCAAGAGTACTGATATAGTCATCTAATCAGGTGGCATTTCAATGTCATTTTTTAAAAAATTTGCTCCTTGGATTCCAGTTAAATAGAAAGAAGCAGAATTTTGAATTCTCCATGCATTTATCTTCTGCTAATCTCATGATCAGACTATCAATAGAGCATAGTACCACATG